CACACAAACCTGACCAAGGAGAGTTAGACTTCCAAGGATGTGAATCATACTATATCCAAAAGGGCCGACGTTCACAAAAAGTCCCTTATCAGATCATTTTGGATCCTTTACCAGATATCTTCTTCCTTTCTAGATCCACTCCCAACTTTTTTCCACTCTAGGATGCTGACCTGAATGGACATCAATGGGCCCTTTACCCTCCTGGTTTTGACTGGGTTTGGCCAATGAAAATGCCTGACAGGATACTGGAGGATTGGTTTTGATGGGCTGCTTTCCTAGACCCAAGGTCACAGCTGTCCTTCTTTTTATGACTCCTTCCTGTTACCTCTTCAGGCCTAGAGATAAAAATCTCTAGCTCTGGGGTGTATCCCTATTTCTTGTGGTTTTCCTAAATTTTGCCCACAATTTTAAAAACAGTCCCATGATATTAAACTGTTCTTAAGTTATTCTAAAATTAAGTACAACATCTGTTTCCTGTTGGGGCCCAGACTTGAAATAATGACTGAAACCAAAGTGGTCCTACAAAATAGACCCTCTAAGAAATAGAATTCAGGATTAAATAACAGGGAAAAGAACAGGGATAACTTTCTTCTTGGGAGGAAACTGGCATTTGAGGGCATCAAGATTTCCCAAATTATCACTGGTGGTAGAATGCAATAAAAGTACAGGTAGAGGGCAAGGTTTTGAGAGATCAAGTGCTTGTAGCACCAGTTGTTATGGTGAAAATGATATTTTAAATACTTGGAGTCATCTGGATTCTCCTATCACCCTATGGAATGAACACAGGGAACAAGAGCAACCAAAAGCTGTGACTATACAATTAAGAACATGATTAGATAGCTAGAAGTTCTTTATAGTACCATTAAATCCAACAACTGTAGGGTAGTTATAATGAGGACCAAACCCCACTCTGACAGGGCTGCAGAACCCTGGTGACAGCTAAGGTGAGAGAACTGGTAAGGAACATTGGATAAGGCATTTGGGCAGACAATGATGAGAACTTGACTACCCCATTCCTCTGAACCTCTCTTGCCATTAAAAGCAGTATCCCTTATCCACTTGTTTGAGTGTTAGATCTCCCCTCCATTAAAGCATATTCTTGAGTATACATGGGGCATTTGCCTCACAAGCTGATACCATTTCTCTTTAGTACCCACCCCTACCAACTATCACTGGCTCTACAACCATAATGAGACCTTAAGTAGTCTCACTGAAGATCACAACCTAACCTTGCTCCTACAGAAGATACTTATTACTATAAGAGTTACAGGACCTCAGTAATTGTATTAGCAAGAGCCTGGAGAACAAATATGGGAGTAGACACTAAGATGAACCAAATATAAGTTAGGTTTGGGTTGAATTTTTGCCGTGGATGCAAACATCTGGGACCTGGGATTTAATGTGTTGCCTTGAACACCAGAAAGAGTAACCTATTTTAAGCCGGCCAATTAAAGCCTAGAGTCATACCTGGCCTACTGCTAATAACATAACTTCTCTAGCATACCACAGAGAAGGGTATCCAAAGGTCCGGGGCAATGGAATATTGGAATGGATTTATTATTACTTTTTTCACCAAAGAGATATTTTGAAAGAGAGGTAAAGGCATCCCTGAATCAGAGCTCTGTGGTGTCCATTTTCTGTAGACTGATGAAAGATGCTGCAATAAAAATGAGTTTCCTGACCTTAATGGGAATTCTATAATTCCAATGTCTGTGACAAAGATTTGTAATTACGCACAATATGTTACAGGACTAGAGATGTAATCAGAGTGTATTGATCCAAAGGAATCTATAGCAATGACAACTGGATTACCGCTTCCTAAAAATGAAATAGATGAACAGTCTGTTAAGGCGCTTAATGATATATTCAAGTAAAAGGAAGACAGCCTGGGTGAAGTGCTTGCTTTTCTCCTATCTCCTCTTCTCTGGTCTCTTCTCTTGGTGATTGTTGATGCTGCTGAGTGAGTGTGGTGGCTCTTTTTTGCTTGAGTTCTGCGGCAATTTCCTCATTTTCATTGTAAACTGGATTCCTGGTCCTGTGCTCAACTCTTCTTGCTCTTCCCTACGCATTCCGTGCCACCCTTTGGAGAAGTGACTGAATTCTTGTAGTTTTGAATCCTTAACTCCTGCTCTGTTCTCTCCCATGCTTTGACTTTTTTAAGGCTCTCAATATATATGTTAAATATATACCATTATGTTATTTACTTCCCACTAGGGACATATGAGTTCATTTCTTGACAGTTTCACTAAAATTGAGTGTTATTTTTCCTTTTATATGTTGTCTGTCAGTCACACATATGCACATTTTGATTTAACTTATGTTTTTATTATTGGTGAAAATAAAGCTTTTTCCTCCATGTTATTGGTTATATTTCTTTTTTTGAAAATTGGCAGTTAATTTTTCCCAACAATTTCCCACAGTATGTTCAACTTTTCAAAAAATATTAATGTCAACATATTACATTCATATATTTAACACATCTGTATGATATAGATGCAAATATTGAGTTAACTATTCTTTCTTCCACTGATTTAAAGTGGCAATTTATGATATGCTAAATTCTTATAAGTGCCTGGGTTTATAAGAATTCTCTCTCACAGATGTCACTTGCTAGCCTAATATCACAGTATTACTAGTGATGTGCCTACTATTACTCTCCTTTTAGAGCTATATTGTTTAGCTTAGTGAACATAACACTTTTATTCCAGAAGGCTTAGAGATTTAGGAGAAAAGAGAAGTATTTCACTTAGACTCAAACTGCTAGCTGTTCAGGGAAAAGATAAAAAATGAAAATATAACTTTTATCTTCCATCACCCAGAGGAAAATCACAACTTATTTTTAAAAAGTGAAATATTAGACTTGGAGTATTCTAAATTTTAAAAATGCCAGAGTACATTACATTAACATGTGAGAAGCACTTTAATGAATGAACTATACCTCAATAATTTTTTACACTTAAGCGTCTTTTTCTTGTTAGAATCCTCTAAAAGTTGCCTTGTTATATTTGTATGAATTGCCCTATCTATTAATTATTTATGCAGAATTTTGTCTTAATGTGTGTTGCAATATAAAAGATTAATACACATAAAAAATTTTCCATATTTATTAACTAGTCATAAGAGTTCACTCCAGTGTATCTTCTCTGCTTTTAAATAAGGTATAAACTCTAACAAAACCCATCATCATCACTCATTGGGAATGTCCCCTGTATGAATATTTATGGGCAGATTAAGTCATGCCTCTTTGCTCAGTGAACCACTTGGGATCCTGAAGTAGCTTACAGAAGACACAGATTTGGTACACAAAGCATTAGTATACTTTATTGACTTTATAATGTCTGGGGTAAATGACAGACCTAAGGCTATCAATGTCTCTTCAGCCTAGATTCTAAAGAGTACTGTTAAGTGTTCACATAATATTGTCAATAGGGTCTTGGAAACTGTGACTTTAAATGAAATGATGTATAACAAAATGTTACCATAGGCTAATTGATATAAACAATAGTAAAGCTCCTATGGCATATTTCAGGTGACAAAAGCATCACCAAATTTCTCAATAAAGACCTCAAATATTTCTAATATTAGACATTGAAATATATATGAGCTATATGTATATTTAAGAAAGGTTAATTTTAAAAAGTAAAATAGTAATTTACCCAATTATTCCAGTTCAGAGTCATGGGAGGCTGGAGACTGTCGTGGCAGCCCAAGGCTCAAGGTGCGAACCAACTCTGGATAGAATAGTATTATATCACAGGGCACACTCATATGCACTCAGACTGAGACAAGTTAAACATGTCAATTAACCTAACATGTACATCTTTGGGCTTTGGGAGGAAACAGGCATACCTAGAGAAAGCCCACCCAGACATAGGAAGTGTGCAAACTCCACATAGACAGTAGTCACAGGCAGGAATCAACTTTTTTTTCTCATCAACATTATAACAAAATGATGCTGAACAAAACAACTTTATTCAAGGACCTGCTGTACTTTTTAAAAATGCAGATTTTAAGAATACACATCGATTAACAACACCACATTCTTCCTTCATTGCAATTGATAACCCTCCCAATTGTAGTCTCCATTCAGTACTAGGGCAGCCAAGGTTATTGTCGGGGTGGAATAAATTGCTGCTACTGTGGTCTTTGCCATTCAGATATTTCTGTCCTTTGAAGTGTTCTCCTCTATTCTCACGAGCTCCTGCTTTCTTCTGACCGCTTTATAAAGACCGACAGTTTGAGTTTTATTGACTATCAACTCCAAGGGCATTGGTTTGCTTTCCCTAATATCTACTTTGTCAATAAATCAGGTGAATATAATTATGCTATAAATCCTATTCATGAACTAGGGAAAGGTGAGGGTAATGAATATCAAAATAACAACAGAGGCCAGGCACAATGGCTCACACCTATAATTCCAGCACTTTCAGAGGTAAGGCAGGAGGATTGCTTGAGCCCAGGAGTTTGAGAAAAGTCTAGGCAATACAGCAAGACCTCATCTCTACAAATAAAATTAAATAAATAAATAAATAAATAAGCAAATAATAAAATAAAATTAGGCATCATGGCATGTGCTTGTACTCCCAGCTACTTGGGAGGCCGAGGTGGGAGAATTGCTTGAGTCTGGGAGTTTGAAGCAGTGGTAAGTTGTGACTGTACCACTGCACTCTAGCCTGGGTGACCATACAAGATTCTTGACTCAAAAATACTAATAGTAATGATAGATAAAGACTTGTATGGTCATACTATGCTTAACTCCAAACCCTTGTGGCTTCATTTGGAAGCAAGAAAATCTCCTTCAAACAGATATTTGTCCAATAACAGATTTATATCCAATATTAATTCTTTCCCAACATTTAAAGAATTATTTTTGACAAATGTTTTCTTACACTTATTATATTCATGAGATTCCATCCAGCATAAATTCATGGATGTTACTGAAGGAATTCTGCATTTTGACTGAAGGTAATCCTGTGGTTTTTCCTTTTTTAGGACTTATCTCAAATGTGAAGTTTTTGATGTTTAATAAGGTTTGAGCTCCTGTTGAAAGTTTTATTACATTCCTGACACTTGAATGGTTTCTCTCCTGTGTGAATAATTTGATGTTGAATAAGGGATGAGCTCTGGTTGAAGGATCTTCAACACTCAACACATTCATAAGATTTATCTCCAGAGGGGAGTACTTGATTTTTACTGTCATTATCTTACTGAAGGCTTTTGCTGCAGTATGAAGTTTTTTATGCTTAGCAAGGTTGGTACGTTGCTTGAAGAATCTCCCACATTCACTGCATTTATAGGGCTTCTCTCCTGTGTGAATGATCTGATGTGGAACAAGGGTTGAACTCTGGCTGAAGGCTATCCCACATTGGTAATACTGATAGGAATTCATTGTAGTATGACTTTCTTGGTATTGAGTAATATCTGTGCTCAAGGTCAAAGCATTTCCACATTCATTATATTATAAATGTTGCTTACCTACTGAATCTAAATTAAATTTGAAGTTATCTTTATACTTCTCACACTTCGAGGACCCCTTTCTTATAAAAATTCCCTGTTGTGTAACACAAGTTAATTGACTTAACATCAAAGCTTTTCTTATTTTCAGTACATTTGAAATTTCCCTCCTCAGTGTAGATTGCTTTATAAGTGGAAGTTTCTTGTGGCAAACTTATGCCCCAGTTTTTCTGGTTCCTATACAATCAACCCTCATCTTTCCAGACATCTAAAACAGGATATTCACTTCTGGTAAGCCTTGTCATTATCACTCCATGGGATGATGCTTCTCCAGAAACTCTCTGCTTTGAAACTGAATCTTGGTATTCTGAACGAGTCTTCATGCCTAAAAAGCAATTTTAAAATGCCACTAACTATAAGTAAATCTGTGTTATTAGGAAAGGGAGGTTAATCCATATAAAAGTATATTTATATATTATGGTTCTTAGAGACCCATGGAAATGCGAGGCAAGGTTAGAAAAAAAGGCTTAGAACTTTTTATACAATAGTATAATAGTATACAATATTTTAAAAGATTAGTAAATAATAAAATATGAGAAGAGCAATTCACAAATATTAAGGAGACAGGTAAAATATCTGTATATGAGCTGGGATGGAATGACATTGTAAATCAAGTTATCACTGGCTCATAACTAGTCTGTGAAAGTTCTGACTAATATCCCTTTCTCTAGCATCTTGTTTCTTTTATCCCAGGCTATTCATTAACAATAAATAAGCCTTTCTACAAAATACCAGTTTAATCATAACTTTAAGAACATGTCTACATTCCCAAGCATCGTACCTTAACCAGCTAAGAGCAAACTTGCAATCATAGTACTCCTCTTTTCCATATACCTGCAATTACTCCCTATATGTAACAAAGGCAGAAAGAACTGTGATATAAGGTAGAGGAATAATCATCCTTTTTCTAGGCTCACAATAACTCTGGATTCTAACATTGATGCTTCTGTACTTTTCTACTGTACTTCCTAGAACTTCAAAACTTTATCTGTTCTGATTAAGATTAGGTTCTCTTCCTCTCACCTGCCTTCAGTTTCTGTTTCATTTAATAATTCTCCACTTTCTTTCTCAAATTACTTTCTCACTTAGCCTCTGTATAAACATACTCAGTATACTGTAGCACATTTTTTTAAAATTAAATTTTACTGACTTCCGTTTTTCCTTTTCCATGTAACTTCAGGTATGCCTAATGATTTTATCCTCCAAGCTTTATTGGTAGCCAAATTACAACTTCAACTTTGCATTCATATATATTATTTATAGCAGATTCATAAAGATATCTTGAATAACCGTTGACTTTTATCTCTCTTCTGTGCTTAGATACTATTAATTTATATTTTATTTTATAAAATGTCCTGTCTCTACCTTGCCAGTATGTATTGGGTGTGTAGGGGTAGACAGCTTGTTCCTTCAATTCATAGGTCTTCCAGACAGGGGTCTAATTTAGATGATGTGATTCTAGACTTCAAGATTGATGCCATAATGGGATGAGACTTTCAGAGTCTCAGGAGAAAGAACAAGGTGGAAGAACATATCATTTGTGGCCAGAAACAGACTATGGTAGATCAAAATGGCTTTACAGTTTTTGCCACTATCCCCATACAGAGGTGGAGTTCATTTTTCTTTATTATTATTATTAGTTTAAACATATGGGGTACAATTCAGGATTAGGTACATAAGTGGTCATCGTACAGGTAAAGTTTGAGTACCAGTATTGATGTTATGTGCCCCCTCCCTCCCCTGAAAATGTCCCACTGCTGCCAATCCCTTTCTTATAGTACTATGATTAATGTTCCGGGTTTGCTTATGAGTACATGTGGTATTCAGATCTTTGTTTCTATGAGAGATCACTGAGTATTACAGACTCTAAGTTCATCTAAGTTGCTGCAAAGCTCATAATTTTTTCAATGGCTGTGTTATACTCTATCATCTATATGTACCACATTTTCTTTATCCAGTCCACTTTTGATGGGCAGCACAGTTGGTTCCATGTTTTTGCTATTATGAATAATGCTGCAATAAACATGTGTGTGCAGGTATGAGTTTATTTTTCATCCCTGATCCTGTGACTAATTAGCCAACAGAATGTGGTAGAAGTGATACTATGCCACTTCAGGGCCTACGCTTTAAGATATTGACAGCTTCTAACTCCTCTCAGGATGCTTTCTCTCAGAACCTGACCACCATGCTACAAGAAGCCCAAGCCTATGGTTCTCTGATCCACAGAGCCAACTAAGTTCCCAAGAACAGCCTGCACTAACTCCTAAGTACATGATGTGCTATCTTAAACATTCTATCCCATTTGAGTTCCTGGACCATTGTATATCCCCAGGCAACAACATATGGAGCACAAGGACTTCTCATTTAACTCACAAAATTTGAGAATAAAATGGTTACTCTTTTAAGTAACTATGTTTTGGGGTAATTTGTCAGAAGCAACAGATAACCAAAACAGTAATTGTTCCAGCAGTATTCACTTAATAGCATCCTCACTGTATTTCCCTAAATAAATTTTTGCTATTCTCATGTTTGTACATTTTTCATGTAACTTTCATGTAACTTTCTCATACATAATTGTATAATTACTTTTATGTATTTTGTTATTTTTAATCAGTTAGTTCAAACATGTAGGAAAGCTACTAGCTTTGTTCATATCTGACCACCTCATAAGTAAAAACATCATTTGTGAATAATAACTTTTTCTGCCCTTTTCTAATAATTAAGTTTTTCATTTATGTTTCATTTATTTTTCTTCCATTAATGAAGTCTTTCAGGTAAATATTAAATTATTAAGGCACAGACATAATTATCTCATGATTTTAGTGGTAATATTATAGTTTTAGCTTTACACATGATATTAACCCATGGTTTGTTTTCCTTTTACTTTCACTAGATTTAAGGCATTGACTTATTCCTGACTACTAACTCCAAATTCCCAAACTGTGCTTTATCTATAAGACTTTGCTCCTGCCTAAAATCTAAAACAAAAATGAACACTTTAAACTTTAGCTTATAACTCCAATCCTTAGTTTCTTCCTATATCTTTCCTAGACACCAGCCCATACCAAGTAATCTCTGCCTTTCTTTTTATTATTCAAATGTTTTCCACAACTCCTGAGATCACTTCAGGGGCTTCTCTATGATTATGGATTAAATCCATAGGTTTCAACATTCACTGAAGTAAATTCCAGACTAATTAATATAGTATGTTTAAGTGATAGATAGATAAAATTAGAATAAAGTCAGGGAATACATTTCTTAATTTTAGGATTACAAATTCTTATGTATAAAATTATACATAAAAATAGGGGGAGATATATGATGACACATTTTTAAAATATATATGACAGACCCCATTAATAACATTAAAAAAAACTCCTCAGGGACATCTTATTTGACACAATTGTGATCAATAGGAGAATTTACATAAGATATTAATATAATAATTTAAAATTCCTAAGTTTTAATTGATAAAGAACTTAAACAACCACTTACTGAATCACAACCAAAACAAATGAAACAATTTTATCCATTTTTTTTTTTTTTTTTTTTGAGTTGGAGTCTCACTCAGTCGCCCAGACTGGAGCTCCCGGCCACCGCAGCCTCGACCAGCTGGGCTCCAGCGATCCTTCCGCCTCAGCCTTCCGAGTAGCCGGAATTACAGGCGCGCGCTACCACGCCCAGCTGATTTTTTGATTTATTGTAGAGATGAGGTCTCGCTGCCCAGGCGGGTCTCGAACCCGCGGGCTCAGGCTAATCCACTCACCTCAGCCTCCCAAAGGCGCGGGATTACAGGCTGAGCCATCGAGCCTGGCTCTGTTTTATCCTTTTTGTAACCAGTATTTAGCCATCTATTTTGTTTGTTTGTTTGTTTCCTATATGTGCCAAGGGCTGGAGGTACTATGGTAGGGTTAAAAAATACAATATCTGTAACTTCAAGCCTAGTGGGAGACAAAAATTGACAAAGATACATATAAAATGTAATTGTGATAATTGCTAAAAGGAGAACATGGTGCTATGGGAGTATATAACAGAAAAGAAAAGAAAAAAAAAACAACTGAATCAAGAGAGGCATCCCTGAGGAAATGTGAACTTATTTGGCAACTGAAGGAAGAACAATAGTTAAGAATATGGTAAAGAGCATTCTACGTAAACAGCACGTACAGGGGTCTTTTGACAGGAGAGAAAAAGCCATACTCAAGGGACAACTGGGATATATCCTTTAAACACTGTCGCCTCTTTGCTATACCTTAACACATATCACAGTTCTTAGAACACAGTAGATAGATGCTTAATATAGATTTGATGATGACTTACTGAAAGTAGATCAGTGTGGCTTGAGTGCAGAGAGTGAGGGAGGATGTGGTACGAGATGAGGTTGGAGAAGTAGGCAGGAACTAAGATGTTGTAAAATAAGGAAAACTGAGTCAGTACAGTGTTTTAAGCAAATGGGTTACAAAATCTGATCTTTTGGGTTGTAATGTGGGTCAAAGATTGGAGTGAGGAAAAAAAGAGTTAAGAGGCATGCCAAAGTGATAGTTCAGGTAAGAGATGGTAGGACATGGACTAGTGAAGCAGCACTGCAAATGGAGAGAAGTAGAGACATTCAAGAGATAATTAGGAAAGCACAATAAAAACAAATATTAGAATGGTGAAGGGGAAGAAATTGTGCTAAGAGCGGTAGTTTGTATCTTGTGTAACTGGATAGGTGGCAGTGTTATTCACCTTAGGGAATGATGGAGAAGACTGGAAAGAAAAAATTCTTTGGTTTGATGGGATTTAAGGCATCATTAAGATATCCAAGAGAAATGTCATGGTGTATATAAACCTTTAGAGACAAAGTCTGAGCTGGGAATATACATCTGTAAATAAATAAATAATATATACATATATGTGTGTATAAAATATTGTATATAATATATGTGTGCATTTTTATATACACAGATTATAGAGTGTGCATTTTTATACAAACAGATATATAGTGTGTGCATTTTTATATACACAGATATATATATTTTAGACTTATCTTTCTCTAACTAGCTAGTAAACTTCAGTTTCTCAACATTTGATCTCATTTTGCATTTTCTTCTTACTCTGTATTATATATATATATATATATATATATAGCTGTGTATAAAACTTATATACCTGTATGTGTGTATAAGTTTTTGTTGTAGATGCCACAAACTAGGAAAGAAAATATGGAGTAAGAAGAAAATGCAAAATGAGATCAAATGTTGAGAAACTCTGAAATTTACTAGATAGAGAAAGATAAGTCTACAATAGAGCTAGAATAGCAACCAAAAAAGAAAGAAAAAGAATAGTAAAAATAAAGAAAAATTAGAAATATTGAGAGAACCGGCCGGGTGTGAAGGCTCACACCCATAATCCCAGCACTCTTGGAGACCGAGGTGAGAGGATTGCCTGAGCCTGCGGGTTCGAGACTAGCCTGGACAACTTGGCGAGACCTCATCTCTACAACAAACAAAAAAATTAGCTGAGCATGGTGGCTGGCGCATGCCTGTAGTTCCAGCTACTTGGAAGGCTGAGGTGGAAGGATCACCTGAGACAAGCAGGTCAAGGCTTTGGTGGCTGGCAGCATGCCACTGCCCTCCAGCCTTGGTGACAGAGTAAGATTCCAACTCAAAAAAAAAAAAAGAAAAGAAATATTGCAAGAACCTAAGAGTGTTTTGAGAAGGAGGTACAGTGTCACTTGTTGTTGATATGTCAAGTAGAATAAGGAATGAAAAAAATGTCTACTGGACAGAAATAAAGTCATTAATGACCTTAGCAACAGCTGTTTCCAATGTACGTTTGGGGTAAGAGATAAACTGGAATGGATTAAGAACAGGAGGTGAAGAAATGAGAAAAGCAAGTACACTGTAACTTTACACATTTGTCTACAATGATGAGAGATGAGAAATAGAATAAGAACTAGAAGAGGATGTAGAGTTAAAAGAAAAATTTTAAAAAACAGTAATGACCAGAAAATGTTAAAAATCTGATCAAAGGTTGAGACAGAAATGGTAAAAATATAAGTGAGGAAAGGTAGGGAGAAATGAGGTCCAAAGGACAATGGAGGAGGAGCAATTTACCTTAGGAAGGAAGAAATACAATAATTTGACTATCACATTAATAAAAAATTAAGATAAAATCCCTCAGGGTTAGGAGATGATAATAATAAATGAAGAGATAATACTCTATTATTATTGAGAGTATGGAATAGTATAACCTTTCTATAGATAATTTAGCACAATATAACAAGATAGTTAATTTGATATTGAAGTTCCTCTTCTAATAATGTATCTTATGGAAGTAATCAGACAAGCCCGAAAAATTTAGGCAATAACCTAAATGTCCAACAGTGGGGGAGAGAATGGAGAAATATATTATGTGTATATGACAGAATGCTATATAACGAATTAGGTGCCACATTTTCAGACTATTTAGTGAAACAGAAATTGCTCATGACACCTTGTGGTTAAAAGAGTAGGATGTAAAATGACATATTCCGCCGGGCTTGGTGGCTCAGCCTGTAATCCTGCGCCTTTGGGAGGCTGAGGTGAGTGGATTGCCTGAGCCCGCGGGTTCGAGACCCGCCTGGGCAGCAAGACCTCATCTCTACAATAAATCAAAAAATCAGCCAGGTGTGGTAGCGCATGCCTGTAATTCTGGCTACTCGGAAGGCTGAGGCAGAAGGATCGCTGGAGCCCAGCTGGTCGAGGCTGCGGTGGCCAGGAGTGGCCACTGCACTCCAGTCTGGTGACAGAGTGAGACCCCAACTCAAAAAAAAAAAAAAAAAAGATGATATATTCCTGGTGAATTCTGGAAAAACTCTGAAAATTATCTCACAATCTTGGAAAAAAAGGAAATCTTCAGAAACGAAAGAGACGCAACATCACAAACAAAGATAATGGCTTAAAAAATGTTAATGCTGTATAGCTCTCTCTGAGTAGTGGCATAAATGAGTGAGGTATAGTCCTCTTCATATTTTCCTGTACTTATTACAATTTTTATTAATCTCACAATAATTTTATATTCTCTCACATAGTGTTAACAAGAATAAAGAATTAAAAAATGGTGAGGGGGAAGGAATTAAGTTATAAGTTAAGAACTCTACAGGAGGAGGCTGAAGCAAGAGAATCACATGAGCTCAGGAATGTGAGGCCAATCTGAGCAACACAGTGAAACACTCTCTCTAAAAAGAAAAAAAATTGATAAAAAAACTAAAAGATAGTTTACATAAAAAAGATTACTAGAAATCACTATAGTATAAAGTAGATTTCCTTATTTTCTTTAAACAAAGAATAATATGATAGCTAATGTTTGCTAATTTTATACTTATCATGTGCCAGGCATAACTCATCTAATCCTCATAGAACCCGGAGGTAGGCACTCTTACTAAGTCTATGTTACAGATGAGGAAATGGGCAGAAAGGCCACACCAGGTCACCCAGTTTTAAATTAGGGGTCTGTGGTCCTAAACAATTATGCTATTTTGCCACATAAGTGAAGGAACCTATAAACAAATGGCAATGATGTCTTCCCCCTCAAAGTTTAGGCTTCGTTGTCTCCTCCCCATCTAATAATTCAAAGATCGGGTTGCACATTGTTTATGCATTTAACCAACAGAAGCTTCTTAGAAGCTGATTTATTTCTACTTGGTTCTTAACAAAAATTGTCCTCCTTGAAATGTCTCCCTCCATTATCTATCTTTTTTCTTACTCTCTCACTAAGGGATCTCAACCAGTTTGGAAAGTAGATGTACTGTTCATAGAAAAATAAAAGCAATGACAACCACAAATATACATGAAACGTCAGACACTTTTACAGAGAAGAGAATTCTGTTTCAACTCAGTAGCCTAAACTGCTGAAAGATAAGACCAGAAGAATACATGGACTTGTGTATTTCTAGCTCAACTTCAGAAAGAACTTTGAACCAGATAGAGTTGGAAAATCTGCTATACACAATAAATAAACAAAAGATTATTAGGAAAGCTAAACCTGGACCCCAAAATGTACTTAACTGCTTCAGAGGTTCTACAGCTATTAGCAGTAGTAGAAGAGACTGCTAAAGGACAGATCTGGTAAACACATAGAAACCACCTTTCCACGGTGAATTCAGGTTCTGAAAGCTTTCCAGCATCACATCCCCCGTACACGTTCTTTACAGCAGGGTCCAGTTGCCCCAACTCTTCCTTGCTGAATTCCAAAACCACATCTTTGAATGCCACTGGTTCCTAAGACATTAAATCCTTTTAAATCAAATGTCACTCTGGAAAATATCACCAGAGGAGAAATGGATGTGAAAAGAATAGGATAGGAGCAAGAATACACATAGAAGAAATTGATAGGACAATATTTGGGGTTCTATATGATGAAAATCAAATTGCCTTAAGGGTCAAATCAGTTGGTACTCTACATACACTCTGTGAGGGCTGCCAGAGAAAAGCAAGGTGCAGTCTTTATTCTAAGTTAGCTTACACTTTGGTTGAGGAGAAAAAAAGACAGTTGAAATAATTGCGGAACAAGAAATTACTGTGGGGACAAAGAATTTACATAAAATGGATTCAGAACAGGAAGAGTTTATGGTAGATGTGAGTGAAATTTGTAATAAAATATAGGCTCTGCTGGGAGAGGTGGGGCACTGTCTTTGAGAAATGCATCCTGCTAATAACTCTTACCATTTCAGACTCAGTTTAATGTCACTTGTCAGACAGGCAAGATTGCCTGACTACCCAAAGTAACTACTCAAAGTGACTTATCAGTCACTACTGCAGTTTCTTTCTTTTCTCTGAAATAATTTTTACTATCTGCAATTATCTTATTTACTTGTATTTATCTGCATACCTCTACTAGATGGTAATTTCCACAAGGCAGAAATTTTGTTTTGCTTACCAATTATATTTTTAGCCTTCAAAAAGTATATGGCATATTATGTACTGCATGAATATGTGCTAATAAATAAATTCCCTACTATCATACCATCAAGTATTCCACTTCTCTTTCCAGTATCTTTAACCTTGTCTTTATTGGCGTCTTCAATCACACTGAAATATACAAATATCTTTCCTTTTTGCTCCCTTCAACCAGTCCTTGCGAATAAGTCTACATCAGTTTTGTCTGCTTTCCCACCTTCTGCTTTTTCCTCAACTTACCACAATGTGGTTTCTATTTCCATGCACATTAATATCTCTATGATAAATGAATAGGCACTACTTAAGCTGTATTATTTTAACCTATTAGACCATTTCTCCTTTAAATATTATCATCCTGCTGGGCTCGGTGGCTCAGCCTGTAATCCCGCGCCTTTGGGAGGCTGAGGTGAGTGGATTGCCTGAGCCCGCGGGTTCGAGACCCGCCTGGGCAGCGAGACCTCATCTCTACAATAAATTTAAAAAATCAGCCGGGCGTGATAGCACATGCCTGTAATTCCGGTTACTCGGAAGGCTGAGGCGGAAGGATCGCCGGAGCCCAGCAGGTCGAGGCTGCGGTGGCTGGGAGCGGCCACTGCACTCCAGTCTGGGCGACCGAGTGAGGCTCCGACTCAAAAAAAAAAAAAAAATTAAAAATAAATAAATAAATAAATATTATCATCCTTTGGCCTCAGTAACATATTTTTCCTGGCTTTCCTGTACAGCCTTTGTCCTCTCTTTTCAGTATCCTTTGAGGTCTCTTCTTTTCCTGTCTAGTAAATGACACTGTTCAGGATTCTACCCTTGGGACCCCTTCACTCGTAACTTTAAATATTTTCCTGGGTAGGCTGTACATCTATAGCTTCTGTAGACAAAATGGAAGCTATATTCTGTACATCCAGATATTCTCTACCTATATGTTCTCTATCTATATGTTCTCTATATATGTGTTCTCTCTATATATGTTCTATATAAATTCTCTCTATGTATTCTATATATACTTTCTCTATATATTCTATGTATATATATTCTATGTATATATATTCTATATATAGATTCTATGTATGTATATTCTCTATATAGATTCTATGTATGTATATATACTATATATATTTTACATATATATATATATATATATATATATATATATATACTATAGCTATATTTTTCAGGGAAAAGATATACATAGAGTATATATGGCTAAGACAAAATCTGCTCCAAAGAATGTACCACCAACTAAAATTGGTCCAATATTCTGAGAAAGAAAAAAAGTCTCATGTCCTTGTATTGAACTATGTTTGGCAAAAGTTCAAAGGTCAGAAAAGTAAAGACAGGTGACACTAAAAAAAATACACTTCCAGTAATGAGTAGAGTTCTAATTCACCTGGAGTTTGTCTATTAGTGAGTTCATTTCCATTTTCTCCTTGATGCTCCTTTTCTTAGGGGTAGAGTCCTTATAGGGTATATCTGAGGAAGATGAATGAAAATATTAGAGAGAAAATATTTTGCCCTGGAGCAACTTTTAATGATTATAATTTTTAAAAACATGCTATTATAGGAATTATCTGTAGAACTATGAGAAAATACCATGAGGCCCTACTAGCAATTAAAATTTCCAAGGATAGGGCCCAGATCTTTTATTTTTTAAAAAGCTCCAAAATGATTCTGATATTTCACCAGGGATTGAGATCTATTGGATCAGAGAGAAGAGAGCCAACATAATATTTTCAGATCTCATCTGTGCTTATCACAGATTTCAAAAAATAACTTTACTACTATCATAACTAAAGTCTAACTGTGGATTAGCCATCAGACTGTAATTCTACTTGTAGTTAAGAATATTTTATCCAACTACTCCCTTCCTCAAACACATTGGAGAGAATTCTACTCAAGGACTGTTTTCCACTAACTTGCTCTGTGCATATTATATACAAAATTTAGGCAATCTGGTCACCTTGAACTACTGTTTCTTTCAAGACAAGAAATTCTGAAAGGCAACTAATTCTGCTCTCCGGCCCTTTAGTGAGAAGTTTATCCAAGAGTCATTTTAGAAGTTTCTCCAAGATTCATGAGTTATACCAGTGATACTTATGTGCCAAACTATGGACCAATACTGGGTTGTGATAAAGTTTTCACTGATTTAGGGTGAAATGAGAAAAAAATAAAAACAATATAGTAATTTTACTACAACACTGCATTTATTCAATGTCAAGGACTTTATTTTGATGTTAAAATGTCATTTCTTTTGTGTAACTTAACACTTGTTGATTTTAAAAATGTTCTTATTTGAAAAAAATTGAAAGTTGGCAAACGCACATTATTTACATTCCCATTTTTTAAACCTTTGAAACACCCCAGAATCTTAGAACCATGCAGTTACATAACAATAAGCAATAATCCTCCATTATAAGTGTGTAATTGGAATCAAAGACAATTTTTAAAACTGCATGGGACTTCTTAATACACATCTGAAGTTCTCAGCAACATATCATGTGAACACTGCAAAGGTTATGTTCTGTTACCTTTATTCAGGCCTATAACACCTTGTGGAACCTCAGTCTGCTAATTCTCACAGTCCTTAGGCCAGTCAATACAATATTGTTCTTTATTTTTGACATTCTTGGAAATATATGAGATATCTTGGAAAGGCGCAAACATTTCCAATTAGCTTTCTTCTTTTTTTTGAGTTTGAGTCTCACTCTGTCGCCCAGACTGGAGTGCAGTGGCCGCTCCTGGCCACCGCAGCCTCGACCTGTTGGGCTCCGCCTTCCAAGTAGCTGGAACTACAGGCGCACACTAACATGCCTGGCTAATTTTTTTATTTATTGTAGAGATGAGGTCTTGCCAAGTTGCCCAGGCAGGACTCGAACTCGCGGGCTCAAGCAATCCACTCACCTCAGCCTCCCAAAGCGTGGGATTACAGACTGAGCCACCGAGTCCGGCTCAATTAGCTTTCTTCTTAGCTTTGCTGTCTGAATATCCTTTCCTTCCCTTCTTCCCTGCTGACTTCTTTCTTGATATTTTACAACCATATTCTCTGAAACCCTCATTCCATTAAAAAAATTCTATATACATTCTCAAGTTCTTGATAGAATCTTCCTTCTCCCCTCTTATCTAAAATGGACCTTGGTCAACAACAAAAGCATATCTTTGCATCTTCCAAATACTATGATCTTGGAAATTGTTCAGATACACTTGTTCCTCACAATTTCTACTTCGTTATAACAATTTCTCTCAAAGTTTTACAGGTTTATGTCATTTAACTATACTATTCTTGATGTTGTACTATATTAAACTATTGGTTGTTCATTCTGGATGTTGTAATATATCAAACTATTGGTTGTTCTTTTTGTTCAACATATATGAGAAGGGAACCAAAAAAATAAAAAAAACCAACAAAAAACAGAATTGTTTTGAAGGGCAGCCCCCTTGTAGTACAGGCATCACCCACTAGGTAATGTTCTAGGAACCCACTGGCATCAGTGTACCAGCTAGTGTTGTTGTGAGAGGCTGTCTTCAGTTTCAGTGAATTTATTTTTGGAGATTCTTTCAACATGTTGCCCATTTCGTGACAGGTGATTTACATGACCAACCTGCCCATACCTCACTGAGTGTCCAGCAGTTTTTCACCAAAAACAGCATAACTTCCATGCCCCACCCTCCCTATTCACCAGATCTCACTCCAGCATCTTTTTTTTTGTTACCCCAGATTAAAACAAGTCCTCAAAGGGAAATGTTTTGCCAGTGTGTGAGAGGTAAAACAAAAAACAGCAGAAGCACTAAAAGGCATCAAAATTGACGCGTTCAAAAATGGTTTTGAACAGTGGAAAAATAAAGGAAAAGAAAGGAACACATTAATACTTCTACCTTGATTGTAGCCAAGGGAGACCCATACTGGATCTCTGACCTACAGTCTTGTAAAATAACACATTTGTGTTGTTTTAAGTCACCACGTTTGTGGCAATTTATTATAGTAGCAATAGAAAACTAATATAACTTGCTACGAATAAGTACCTCATCAAATCCTCTGTGACTACTCAAACTAAAGTTTAAAATTTCTTCTCAATCAATAATTGTAATAAATTACTTTCCATACTCATCTTAAATAGGACCTTTTTGTTACACCATTGTTGAACATTGTCTTCTTGAAGATTTCTTCTTTCTTATCCCAGACACCAATCCTTCCTGCTTCTTTAACATCTTAGATTATCCCTTTCTAACCTGCTTACCTGGCCTCTCTTCTTTTGTTCAGTTCTTTGATTTATTTAAAATTTTTTATAAAGACTAAATATAACCATAATACCAATATAATCACTGTCCCCGATCAATAATTCCTTGTCAGATAACCAGTCAATGGCTTCATGTGTTATAAAATTCACATTTACACAATTAGTTACATATCTTTTACATTTAAAAAAATATTTCTAAATCTCTCTGCCATACCCCTCCCTGCTCCATTAGAAACTGGACTGCCTTGTAGTTTCCCACAGTTTGGATTTTACTAATGGTATTATTGTGGCGTAGTTTAACATGTTCTGCTATCCTCTATATTTCCTGTAATTGGTAGTTACATCTAGATCAGCTCTTAAATATCATTGCTACCTAAAGACCTCTATTTATCCTACTTCTTTGATCATATCTTTAAGCTTCCAAATCTCTTTCTGAGCACTAAAGTCATATTGTTTATTATATATAGGTTTATTCATTGTGGAAGCCCCATAGGGACTTCAACTTAAATATGCCACATAAATAATATATTCACCTCCATACCTCCAAAATTTTCTACTTACATTCCATTCATACAAGTCAATACATATGAATTTACATTAAAATGTATCTGTCTTTTCTGTTTTTGGAATCCTTATGTTTCTCTACTTTACATGAGAAGTCAATAAACTTTTTCTGTAAAGAGCCAGATAGTAAATATTTTAGCCTTTGCGGGCAATACAGTCTCTCCTACAATTACTCAACTCTGGTTGTAGCATGAAAACAATCACAAACAAAATGCAAATAGCTGTAGCTATGTTCCAATCCCACTTTATTTTAAAAAATATTTGGCTCATATGTCATATTTTGCCAAACCTGCTCTACGTGAATGCCAACATAATATTTATAAAAGGCAAATCAAACTTTGTTACTCCATTATCCAGTATATGAGATCTAATTCCATTTCTATTACTGATATAACAAAGCCCAGGTTTCCTAATAAAATAGTATACAATCCTTTATGATCTGTCCTTTGACACCATCTAGCTTCAGAAAAAGATAAATTCTCTTCATATGGGAAGGATTCTACTTCTAATATTCTATATTCTTACCTGGGTCTTTAAGCATTTTAATTACATCTTCGATAAAGGACGCCACATCTTTACTGTTCCTTGGATATTGTAAGTTCACCCAAATTCTGACTTCTTCAGGGAGGATTGTCAAAAAGTGTTCCAGCACCAAAAATGATAGAATCTGCTTCTTTGCATGAAGACAGCTCCCAGAGTTGGCACAAGGCTTCACAGGGCCCAGACATTTCCAAATACTGGAAATGTCTAAACTTTTGACGAGATGCCTCACAGTCACATGTCTTCATGATGGGGATGGTTTCCTGCTTCCAAGACACATCTTCTCTCGGGACATCACTTTGTTCAAGTAGAGCCAGGATCTGAGGTTTTGAGATGACCAACTTGTTCAGAGGTTGCATGTTCATAAATAGAACTCTCAAATCCATCCTCTAGTAAGATGGAGTCCAATAATTCTCAGACATGAACTATGCACCTGTACACTAAATGCAGTATGATTTCAGTCAAGTTATATCACCATAAGGAGAAAAGTTCCAAGAGCTTCAAACACAAACCCTGAGACACTGGAAAAGATAGACATATGGCCCACAATATTAAAAGATAAAACATAAAGATATTCCTAACATTACCCACAAATAATACATATTATGGATTTTCCTTCTATTTTTGTTTTCCTTTCTTAAAAATGGGAAAATATGCTTTCCCTTTCCCCTAACCATCCCCTCAAAAGACAAAGAGAAACCCACACAAATAGAAACATGATAAAGGAAATAGATCTTACATTTAAAAAGATCTCATAATTGGCTGGGCTCGGTGGCTCAGCCTGTAATCCCGCGCCTTTGGGAGACTGAGGTGAGTGGATTGCCTGAGCCCACGGGTTTGAGACCCGCCTGGGCAACGAGACCACATCTCTACAATAAATCAAAAAATCAGCCAGGCATAGTAGCACATGCCTGTAATTCCAGCTACTTGGAAGGCTGAGGTGGAAGGATCACTGGAGCCCAGCAGATTGAGGCTGTGGTGGCCGGGAGGCTGCACTGCACTCCAATCTGGGTGACCGAGTGAGACTCCAACTAAAAAAAAAAAAAAAAAAAAAAAAAGATCTCATAATTGAATTGCAATTAGGTTTCTTCTGTATCAGGTGATAAAGAATTTTTGCTTTAAAACTAAGCAAAACAAAACTTCAGTTAGGATATTCAGGTTATTAAGACTTCAGACTAGACATGTCTGAAAAATATTTCCCCAAGTTCTTATTAAAGGCTCAATAAAGTTCTACAAAATGAATAAAACTGGTAATAGCACTAGAAATTAAGGTAAGAGACTACTAAAAATAAACTAGAATACCCACTATTTAATTATTAGCAATAAATAAAAGAATGTTCCTAGATGATAATAATTAAAATTTATATTTGTTAGGACTTACTATGTACGGGCCAATATACAATGCTCACTAGGGGGTCTCAGGCATAACTAAACATTTAGACTCACAAGACAATCATATGTCATATTTGGCACTGATTTACTTAGAAGGCATAAAACACAGCTTGGTAGCAGAATAGGCATTTCTCTTCGGTGTGAGTTTTTGCAGACTACAGCTCAAGTGCAGAGAGATGAGAACTGTACAGTATAGCAATCACTCTGACTCAAAAGTCTTCCCACAGAAGTCAATATCTCTCATAACAACTGAGCATAGCTTTTAGGGCTGCCAAATTATAGGAATCATAACACTCAGGGGAGTCCAGATACAGCTTTCTATTTGATTTATAGTCCTTCAAGTTCAAATGCAATTTACCACTCAGGGACCACCTTTATTATACACCTTTAGGCCAGAAGTTCTCAACCAGGGGAGATTTACCCCTGGTGAGAAATTTGGCAATGTCTGGAGACAGTTTTACTTGTCACAGCTGGAGGTTGTTACTGCCATCTAGAGACTTGAGACCAGGGGTGCCACTAAACATCCTACACATGATAGCCCTCAATAGCAAATAATTATCCAACCAAAATATCAGTAATCCTGAGATTGAGAAACACTGCTATAGGCAATATACAGTGGATCAGAATACATACTTTGGAGTCTTACCAAAATGCGTTTAAATCCCAGCTGCACTAGTTACTGCATGTATGAACTTGAGCAAATTACTTACATCCAAGCTTGCATTTTCTCAGCTGTAAAACAGATATAACAAAGTTGGATAGGGTGACTCAAGCCTGCAATCCCAGTCTTTGGGAGGCCAAGGTGAGAGGACTGCCTGAGCCCAGGGGTTTGAGACCAGCCTGGGCAACTTGGTGAGACCTCGTCTCTACAATCAATCAAAAAATTAGCCAGGAGTGGTGGTGCATGCCTGTAGTTCCAGCTAGTTAGAAGGCTTAGGCAGAAGGATCGCCTGGGCCCAGCAGGTCGAAGATGTGGTGACCGTGAGCATACCACTGCACTTCAGACTGGGCAACAAAGCAAGATACAACTAAAAAATAAAAATAAAAAATAAAAATACTATCTGACTGAATTATCGGTATTAAAAGCGCTCTCATCTCACTCCTTGGCACATAGTGAATACTCAATAGGTTGTCATATGCACATACATATGTCAAAATATGCTAGTAGACCTTGCATATTGGCCAGTGGTCTCAAAGAACTTAAAGAGGAATGTGCAATATTTTTCCTAATTGTAGGAAAATGGTAGTTATCTGTCTGTAAAGAAAGCTGTTTTTAATCGAAAAGGTCACAGGTAGGGCAGTAGCTTGAGGTAAGAAGAGTCTTTTGGGATCAGCTCAGGTAAAGAGGAACAGAAAGCAGTTTGCAAATGAGTACTCAAAAAACCAAAAATTCACTTTCTTTGTCTCTGTTGCCACTAGGGAACAGCATATAACTTGTACTCAATCAATTAGGTATACCCAGTCTAGTCTTTGAATTAAGAGCTAGTGACATGAAAAACAAGGACAGCACACAGTTTCTTTTCTTTTTTAAAAATGTTGTATTTTTTAGAACAGTTTTGTGTTTACAGTTTTGGACAAATCGAGAAGATAGTGCAACAGGTCACCTTTATTTTCCCCTATTATTTTCCTATTACTGACATCTATTTTTCCCTATTATTGACAGTTTTCTCTATTACTGACATCTTACATTATTATGGTACATTTGTTATAATTAAGAAAATATCATTGATACCTTATTAATTACATCCCATAATACTTTATTCAGATTCCTTTAGTTAATTTGTTTCTGCCTTTTGTCCCTTTTCTGATGCAGGATCCCATCCAGGATACCACATTATATTTAGCTGTGATGTCTCTTTAGCCTCCTTTTGGCTGTGACAGTTTCTCAGACATTCCTTGTGCTTGATGACCTTGACAGTTTTGAGGAGTACTGGCTGGATATTTTGTAAGCTATTTCTCTTTTGGGATTTTTCTGATGTGTTTCTCATGATTGGACTGGTATTATAGATTGTGAAGATGAAAATTACAGAGATTGAGTTCCATTTTCATCATATTATCATCAAGGGTACATACTATCAGCATGACTTATCATTATTGGCGTTCACCTCGATCACCTAACTGAGTGTGTGTTTTTCAGCAGGCAGTGCCTTTTCTTTCTTTTTCCCTCCCTCCCTCCCTCCTTCCCTTCCTTTCGTGGCAGTGGATGCAGCAATATACAGTTTTCCGAACCTGCAGCTGCAACAGCAATAGCCTGTGTGGATAGTGTGTTGGCAGTGTAAATTGTGCCATCTAGTACTGAATGGCAATCATTCAGAATGGCCACCAATTCTGTGGTGTGATCTTAACCTGTAGTTCTGGCTTCAGAGCTGGAATTACCATCATTTCAATATATTTCACTTTTAGCTTACATCTTGCATAGTCAGTTTCTGTTACTTGAAACTAAAAACCCTGATTGAGGCCTTATTTTTATTATGATTTATGGGTGTATGAACTAAATATTTTTTTATTAAATATTTTCTGTACCTTTATTTCTCCTTTCCTTCTATGACAGGTAATGGTTTCAAGCAGGCAACTGGTTATTGTTAACATGATGAAGCCCCACTGGCATCTATTTTGGTGGAATGAGTGGGAGTATGATTCTCTCCGTGTGTCAGTAACTCACTGCGGTGTAACAAATCATTTCAAAACCTAGTGCCTTAAAACAGCAACCACTTTATTGTTATAAGGAGTTTGTGTGTTTGGAATTTGGTCAGTGGGGATGGCAGTTTTCAGTAATGTAAATATTGAAGATATGGCCATGGGAGTGAATGGCTGATATTACTAGGGAAGGAGGATAAGGGAATCTGAGAATGCAGGCTGTTTATATAGTTCATTCTACGTGAAAATTAAATAACCAAGAACTATAACAACAACAGTGTGTTGAAGAGAGTGGCAGTGAACCAGGTTTAAAGACTTCATGGAAAAAGGAATAGTGACATAGGAATCTAACATAAAATGAAATAAAAAAACCCTAAAAGCTCACTTTCCTGACCATACCTTATCTTTGTCTTCTCTCTCATGGTGAAACTTCTCCAAAGTAACCAAGCTTCAGTTTTTGTTTTCTTAATTTTCCTCCCTTCACTCACCTAGATAATAAGTGGAGAACAAAGTCACCAAATTCAACTGATAATTTTTATCTGTGTCACCTCAACTAGTACATATCCTTTGTATTAAGGTTCTTACTGGTCATTTACCCTAGATTAAAATTTGCCTATTGTGGTAAGGTTCTAATAATTTTTTTTTTTTTTTTTGAGTTGGAGTCTCGCTCTGTCACCCAGACTGGAGTGCAGTGGCCTCTCCCAGCCACTGCAGCTTCGACCTGCTGGGCTCAGCCGATCCTTCCGCCTCAGCCTCCCACGTAGCTGGAACTACAGGCGCGCTCCCACGCCCAGCTAATTTTTTAATATATTGTAGAGATGAGGTCTCACCTGCCCAGGCAGATCTCGAACCCGCGAGCTCAGGCAATCCACTCACTACAGGCTGAGCCACCGAGCCCAGCAGTTCTAATAACTTTAAAAGGACAGTAACAGACCCAAAAATGTGTATTAAAACATATAATGTTTCAGCCATTCAGTTAGATAAGATGAAAAAAAGAACTCAATAAATAGTTTAAAACTATATGCATGGATGCATGAATTGAATGAGAAGTGCAGTTACTAGGTAGCTCTTCAGAGGGGAGGTCTTCTACTGCAGAATCAATCTGAGCTCAGTAGTTTCTGGACCACATGTTCATGGTGGCTATAGACACCTTGGAAAATCCCCTCTAAACATGTAGTTTAGAATCCCCTCTATAATTTTAAGTAAAAAAAGGAAATGGCTTCCAGCTAGTTAATTTGAACTAAGGGTTTATGAGATCCTGAAGTAGACTCTGGAATTGACTATTCTAGAGAAGTTGAGTCACAGTGAGACACTGTGTACAGACATCTCAACCTATGGAGGGGTTGGCCTAAAATCGGGAGACTCCAATTTCTAAAATTCTAATTTCTCTTTTGCTTTCTAAAGAGATATTCATTAAGTAAATTGGGCTCATTCAAAGGAGAATGATCTGGATGAATACAGGGTACCAAAACATGTTAGTTAAAGGAATTTTAAAGAATCAAGTCAGTGGTTTGCTGCAAAAATTCAATTTGGGCAAATATAGAAACTGATTTCAGTGAGTTGTGATATAGAAGGATAATTAAAATTGTTCTAGAAGTAAACCGAGGTATAGTGTGTTCAAGGTACAGAAAAATAAATTTTGACTTATTGTGAGGAAGTTCTTTCTATTAGTAAAAACTATCTATGAAAAAGAATATCTAAGATAGTAGGGAGCTGTATTATTCCTGGTTAGGCAAATGCTGAATAATTATTCAAAAGAGATATTATGGAGTAATTTAGGCCTTAGATAAATCGTTGAGTTAGATGACTGATGGATTTTCTTTGTACTCAGTCTGTGCTTATATGAAATTTGAAGTGATTATATAAAGCTAATTTTCTGGAACTTTTAGGAGAGAACACAATGAACTGGGAAGTACTATTCCTTCTGGTACCTCTTCACAAGTTGAAGTGCTCTAGGTCCAAATGATCCAGTATTAAAGACTCTTTCAGGTACGCTAATTGCTTTAATCAGAGTCTATTCTAAGGTTTGTATGACCAAGACATGCAAACTTGAAACGTCTTTGATGTTAAAATTATGTATGCAATTTGTATTAGAGATTATTTCAGGAAAATCTGGCTTGAACATTCTAGATTCAATTGTGATTGTGCTTAAATCATGTCCATGGCAGCTGAAGTAGCTATTCTACAAACTCCTCAGAGTAGCACCTGGCACCTTTCATAATCAGGAAATAATCTCACCTTTCATGCTCCCCCCACCCCCATGTTTCAGTTTAGAGTGACGTATTCACAATTTTTAGAACGTTTTCTCTGTTTTCATGCTTCTTTCTGTAATGATCCAATTCACAATTGCTTGCTGAAATCCTGATTTTCTTTTACGGATGTTACCATAGCTATAAAAGTCAGATTCAGAGGTCACTGTCTCTGAGAGAAGGGCTTTCTTCCAACTAGTTTCCTGAGAGCACCTTTGACATCCTTGTTCCTCAGGCTATAAATGATGGGGTTCAGCATTGGAGTCACCACTGTATAGAACACAGATATCATCTTATCCTGTTCTTTTGTGGTCTTCGAGTTTGGCCGCATATAGGTGAATATTCCTGATCCATAGAAGAGGACAACAACAATAAGATGGGATCCACAAGTAGAAAAAGCCTTGAGCCTCCCTTCTCCAGACTGCATCTGAATGACAGTGGAGATAATATTCCAGTAAGAAACAAGGATGAGTGAGACAGGAGCCAGGAGGATTACCACACCCATTGCAAAGATGGCCATTTCTGTGCTGTAAGTGTCTGCTGAAGCCAGTTTCAAAAGGGCAGGAGGTTCACAAAAGTAGTGATTGATTATATTCTGGTCCCGATAGGGAAGATGGAAAGTAAAGTTAGTATCTACCAAAGACACTAGTGCTCCACAGGCCCAGGACCCTATGGCCAACTGGAAGCATACCCGCTGGGTCATGATGGTGGAATAGTGCAGGGGCTTACAGACAGCCACATACCGGTCATAGGACATCACTGCCAGAAGTGCACACTCTGTACACCCAACCAGAAGGAAGACAATTATCTGTGTCATACACCCCAAAAGAGAAATGGTTTTCCTTTTTACCAGGAAGTGGACCAACACTTGAGGGACAATGCTAGTAGAGAAACAGAGATCTGCAAAAGAGAGATTTCTAAGAAGAAAATACATGGGAGTGTGAAGTCGAGAATCCATGAAGATGAGAATGATGATGAGCAGGTTTCCAAGCACAGTCAGCAGATAAATGATGAGGAAAAGAATAAATAGCAGAATTTGGGTTTGCAAGTTCTGTGAAAGACCCAAGAAGATAAACTCGGTCACAAAGGTTTCATTTCTCTCTCCCATTGAGATTTATGCCTGTTTACCTATTTGGCACAACCAAAAAGAACAAACTTTGGTTAGGTTTATGACAGCAAGTTCTGTAGAAGAGGCTCAGGTTAAAACTGACACCTAATCAGATATTTCTAGTTCTTTGCTCTCCAACTTGTTGATATAACAATGAGAGATAAGTTTTCACCTGGGTAATTTTTATCTAAGAGTTTAGCAGCAAAAATCAGAACAAAAAAGAGTGTTTTACTGAACCCATAATACATAACAGCTTTACTTTAAGGGTTTTATATGATAGCATCCAATAACATTATGGGGTAGATACTATTAATCTAGTCTTGCACATGAGGAAACAGAGGTACAAAAAGGTTAAGTTACTTTCCCAATATCATACAATTAACAAGTGTAGAGTTCATTAGCTGTAGAATGAATGTGCAAAGAAAAAGACACTTGCAAAATCAAGTGGGTAGGAAAATTAGTATTAATCTTCCTAGAAGATAATTTTGACAAATACAGTAAAAGATTCAAATACTCATGTGCTTTGACCCAGTTCTCATTAGTATGGAGCAGAGAAAAATTTGCCTTACATTCAAAATTTGTATTCAAAGATTTATTTATAGCATGCTTTTAAATGGATGTAACTGTGGTAGTATTGGGAACAATATACATAATATAAGACCACAATATACATAATATAAGACCACAGTTTCTCTGGCTATAACTTGTTACCAAAATTAGTAAAACTTTCTTCCAATTCAAAAACCACTTCCTCTCCCACAGTTTTTTCTGAAAGTCCACAGGGAATAATTTATGTGCTCTCAGGAATATATCACTATCAGCCCCAAAGTGCTGTTCATATCATTTTTTCTTTTTTCTTCTATTCTTTTCTCTTTCTTGTTATTGTTTTATTGTTTCTAGAAACAGGGTATATCACTCTGTCACTCAGGCTGGAGTACAGCAGTGCTATCATAGCTCACTGAAACCTCAGACTCCTGGACTCAAGCAATCCTGCCTCAGCCTTCTGGATGGCTGGGGTCTGTCATTTTCTTTCCCCCTTTCTCCGGTTGTCTACATCTATCTGAGTACTACAGTCTTCTCTGTATCCTACAGATAGTGATTATATTTCATATTAATAATAATGAGAATCATTACTAATTCTGTTACTAATCAAAAGTGGTTTTGCAAGTACCTTGGGGACCAATGCTAATTTATGTTTTCAAAATACACAGAAAAGACTGGAAAAGAAAAATGTTCAAAATATTGAGAATGGTTAACTCTGGGTACTAGGATTATGAATAGGTTAGTTTTATTCTTTTTTAATATGTTGATATTTAAAAGAGTCATGTATTATCAATTTAATAAAAATATAATTAGAAAAATTAAGCAGCAATAACTTGAGGATGCTACACTAAAGCCACCTCTTTACTTCTACTTTCAATCTTGATAAAGTTACTGGTATAGGACTAGCCCTCTTGCTGAAAGCAAATATAAAACAAAATATATGGAGCAACTATTTTTCAGATGTCAGACAACAGCCAGCTCAGAAAGTAATGACATATAGCAAGAAAAGAAAGTGAACTCCTTACCATACAGCTTTATGCCTGGAGGTACTCCCAGGACTGTGGTCCATGGAGTGGGAGCCTAAGGAGAGCATAATAGCCTTGCTGAGCTGATGGACACAGATCGTTAAATGATAGTGGAAATTATGGAAGAGAATACCAGAAAGGAAGCCTTGGAGAGACGGACTCCAGGAATCTGTATGAGTCTTGACTGAATATTAAACTGTACATCCACAGGATAAAGCTGCCAAGCCCCCAAAATAGAAACGGCCAGGGGATTCATGGAAGGCTGCAAGATTTTGGAATTTCAGTCAGCTACAGTCAAGAACCTTCACTGAAAAGCCCTGGTACTACATTGATACCTCAGAAAGGGTAGAACTTAAGAGAAGTCCGTGATGAATTAAGGGTGCATAATGTAACCTTCAGGATAACTAGTAAAATATAAAACAAGAACTATTGTTAAAAATAAAATAATTTGCCAGACGTGGTAGTTCAAGCCTGTAATCCCAGCACTTTGGGAGGCAGAAGCAAGAGGAATGCCTGAGTTCAGGGGTTCAAGAGCCTGAGCAACATGGTGAGACATCATCTTTACAATAAATCAAAAAATTAGCCGGGTGTGGTGGCACATGCCTGTGGTTCCAGCTACTTGGAAGGCTGAGGCAGAAGGATCACCTGAGCCCAGCAGGTTGAGGCTGCTGTGGCAGCAAGAGTGCCACTGCACTCCAGCCTGGGTGGCAGAATGAGACTCCTACTGAAAAAAATAAAATAAAATAAAGTAAATAAATAAAATAATTTTAAAATAAGAAGAAAGCAAGAAAAAAGATGAAAGAACAAAGAATAGACAGGAAAAATTGAAAACAAATACGATAATGGACTTAAATTTTTTCCATAACTAGATGAAAAGCTAATGGACTAAACATTCTAATTAAAAGGTAAAGATTAGTCGGGCTCAGTGGCTCAGCCTGAAATCCCGCGCCTTTGGGAGGCTGAGGTGAGTGGATTGCCTGAGCCCGCGGGTTCAAGACCTGCCTGGGCAGCGAGACCTCATCTCTACAATAAACCAAAAAATCAGCCAGGCGTGGTAGCGCAGGCCCGTAATTCCGGTTACTCAGAAGGCTGAGGCAGAAGGATCGCTGGAGCCCAACGGGCGAGGCTGTGGTGGCCGGGAGTGGCCACTGCACTCCAGTCTGGGCGACCGAGTGAGACTCCAACTCAAAAAAATAAATAAATAAAATAAATAAATAAATAAATAAATAAAAGGGCAAAGACGGTCGGACTCAGTGGCTCAGCCTGTAATCCCGCACCTTTGGGAGGCTGAGGTGAGTGGATTGCCTGAGCCCGCGGGTTTGAGACCTGCCTGGGCAACTTGGCAAGACCTCATCTCTACAGTAAATAAAAAATGAGCTGGGTGTAGTAGCTTGCGCCTTTAGTTCCAGCTACTTGGAAGGCTGAGGCGGAAGGATCACCAGAGACCAGCAGGTTGAGGCTGCGGTGGCCGGGAGCGGCCACTGCACTCCAGTCTGGGTGACAGAGTGAGACTCCAACTCAAAAAAAAAGGCAAAGAGTGTCAGACTGGACAAAAGAGGAAAACCTAACAATATTCTGTCTATAAGGGATGCATTTTAAATACAAAAACATAGTTTGGTGAAAGTAAAAGACGAAGAAAGATATATCTTTTCTTATGAAAACACTAGTCATAAGAAGGTTGAAATGGTTATACCAAAATAAGCTTCAACATAGAAAGTATTGCCAGAACTAAAGGGACATCTCATAATGATAAAAGTGTCATTTATCACAAAGGCAAAGTCATACTCAATATAAATGCAGTTAATGGAGCTTCTAAACATGCAAAGAAAAATTAATACAATTGAAAGGATAATGAAAAAAACACAGACATAGCTGAAGGCTTCAACACTCCTTCTGGTAAAACAAATAGAAAAATCAATGATGATATATAGAAGACTTGACAACACTAACAACCAGCTTGACCTAATAACACTTATAGATTACTCAATAAGTACAGACTGTACATTATTTTCAAATCGAGGGGTATGTTCATGAAAGATAAACTATTTATGCCAGGCAATAAATCATGTAAATAACACAGGATTGAAATCATATACAACATATTTTCTGATCACACAGAATTAAATGATAAATCAATAACAAAAGAATATCTGGAAAATGTTCAAGTATTTAGAAATGAAACAACACAATTCTAAATAACCATGAGTCAAAGGGAAAATCAAGCAAAATTGTAAAATATTTTAACTAAATGTTATTGAAAAATCAATATATTATCAAATTCAAAACTCTCTTGAACTTTTAAGGAATGGCAGTTACTATTTCATTTGCCTCATCCATAGAGAAAAAACGATAGTCACCTTTTAAAAATGAGATCAACACTAAATGAATATGCAAAAAATAGATGCAAGGTAAAAATAAAATGAAGGTATAGAACAAAGTAATTTGCTTTTTAACTGGTCCACCTGATATGATTGATATTTGTATTCCATGAATCATATTTTGGTAAACATTGCTCATTTATTATATAAAAACCAGACAAAATCAAAGTCCTCAAACAACTTCAGATAGAAAACTTAACAAAATTATCTTGAAGTTCACCCAGAAAAATACCCAGAAAATATTAAGGGGGAAAAAAAATGAAAAAAAAAATTGTGGTGGTGGGGGATTTAAGCTATCCAATATTAAAACTTATTATTATTATTATTATTTATTTTTTTATTTTATTTTTTTTTTGAGTTGGAGTCTCACTCAGTCACCCAGACTGGAGTGCCTTGCCTGCTGGGCTCCGGTGATCCTTCCGCCTCAGCCTTCCGAGTAGCCGGAATTACAGGCATGCGCTACCACGCCCAGCTGATTTTTTGAATTACTGTAGAGATGAAGTCTCGCTGCCCAGGCGGATCTCGAATCTGCAGGCTCAGGCAATCCACTCACCTCAGCCTCCCAAAGGCGTGGGATTACAGGCTGAGCCTCCGAGCCCGGCTAAAACTTATTATTAAATTAGGATAATTTATATGTGTTCCACTGATTCAGCTAGCATACCTTAATGAAATAAAATAGAGAATTTGAATCAAACTCAGGGGAGTAAGTGACAAAAATATGGTTTAAACCAATTGAAGAAAGGTATATTGTTAAGAAATGGTATAAAATATTTGACTATCTGTTCATAAATAAAGTATTCTCATATCAGCCCCTATTCTCAAAATCTAAATGCTTAGCATTTATATGTAATGAATGGTTACCCTCATTTAGAAACAGAGATTGTAAGATAAAACCAGTTCCAGCCTGGGAAACATAGCAAGACCTTGTCTCTACAATAAATAAAAACATTAGCCAGGAAAAAAAACACCTTATTTATTTCTTTGAAACCACTCACAATATTTTTGAGAGTAGGACAAACATGAAAATGTAGACATGTACATTTATAAAAATCTCTCTGGAGGGCAACCTGAAGATAATTAATTAATTAAAAATGAA